GGGGGAGTGAGGAGATGGGGGAGAGGGGAGGTCGTGGGGGGAGCAGGACGGTGCGGGGGAAGAGGGGGTCCGTGGGGGAGAGGGGCTCTGGGGCAGAGGGGGTAGCAGGGGAGACTGGGGCGATGCTGCGGAAAATGCGGAGGGCTCCTGGGGAGAGGGAGGCGCGGGGCGAGCTGTGGAGAGCGAGGGGCGCCGGGGGTGGGGAGAGGGGCGAGTTGGGGGAGCGGGGGGGTGTCAGGAGAGAGGGGGACATCGTGGGGAGCGGGGGGAAGCGGGGATGGGGCAGCAGGAACGGGAGCGGGGCGGCAGCCACAGACGAGCCCCGCAGCCCACGGCCGTGGCCCCAGAGGGACCGAGTGGGGTTCGGAGAGAGGGTCTGGGGAATAAATCCCGGGAATAAACCGCCGTTCCTTGGCCGGGACACGCCGCGGAACGTGCGGGCAAGCAGGAGGGTGACCCTGGGCTGAAGGTGTGAGGGGTGTCCTGCACCCCTGAGCGAGCCACCAGCCCGGCATTTAAACTCCTCAAATGCTCCAAGACCAGCTCCAAAACCATCTGCTCAGGAGCTGAATGACAACTTTTATTCTCCTGGGGCCACAGCATGCTCTGGAGCCACAGGGTCTGTCCAGAGTGATAAAATTCTTTGCATTCTTTCACCAGTGGAGCTCCGTCATCCCCTGTTCCCTGTGTTCAGAGTGTTGCTCGGAAAACACTGTCAGTTCTGCACAGAGGCACCGTTTTTCCAAGTAAGAATAAACCCCTGCCCAAGCCCAGAACTAGGTGCTGAGTGCAGGGGAGTCCAGTGGGTCACACACACACAGGGAAAGCCACTTCCACCCTTCCCTTTACACTGCAGGGGACACTTGGCTTAATGAAGAATAGGGAGAAAATGTTTTCCAAGAACTAAGTAAAGCACTGGATTGTGTTTGGACACTACTGGTTTTTTTGCTCATTCAAAAGAATCAGAAAAAGGTTAAAATATACAGAAATTACAGACAAGGAACGTGTTTAAATTTAGCCAAGGATTCTTAGTATTTCTGGATAACTCAGACCACACTTGAAGGGTTCTGTCCACACATTTTTCTACTTTCATTACAGCCAGACATCTTCCCTCAAACACCCTTTCCCTGTCACGTTTCATTAATGTGAAACCTTCAGTAAATACAAGAGGGTGACTCCAGTAAAATGCTGCAGGTGCCCAACACTTGCTAACTGACTGCATCCAGATAGAATTCAAAATATTCCCTGAAACCTGAGCCTCAGAATTGTTTAAATGAGGCCTCATTCTTCTCAGCAGCTAAAGAAACTGAAGCTGAGGAAGCCCCACTAATAGTTTAGTTTGATTTAAAAGATACTCAGCACTGCTCAGAGGCCAACTTACTATAAATAGAAATATATAAAAATAATATAAATAAAAATAACACAAGAATCCAGAGACTATTACAAGACTAGTTACAATTTCTCAAAACACACCAATACAGAATTGTTTCCTCAGTAATAGAATGAACACAGCATCAAGTATATATATTTTACTCTTAAATAGAACAGCTTTATTCAACCAAATCCAAGATTATTTCAAAACTATCCCTTAAACTTGGCTTAGAGAATTATTTTTGCCATTCTTCCCCTTCAAAATCCCTTATGTATTGCTTAGAAAACAAAATTATATTATTTTTAAAAGTTTTGGGGTTTTTTTTTGGAAAAACAGCAGGAAGGTGTGAATCTCTCTTTTTTTTATATTTTAATATTCCTTTTCTCCAACAAAACTAATGGAATAGTGAGAGGTTACAGGAACACTTTGCTCAGCTTTATATAAAACTGAGATCCAAGGAGTGTGACTTGCACATAACCTGGACAGGGGTGACAGGAGCTGCCACAGCCCAGGATGGGTCTGGTAACGCTGAGGTTTAACACTGGGAACTGCAGTCACACTCCAGTTCTCCCCTGCACCTCACTCTGAGCTTAGAAAAACAGAAGTTCTCTCTATTTCAGTGAAGTCTGAGATAATTTGACTGTGAATGTTGTGGCTCAAAGCCCCGGCAGTGAGTGACCAGATGGGCTGGAGGGGACAAGCCATGAGCCCAGGGCTGCAGTTTGAAAGCATTGGAATCTTTAAGAAAAGTTTGTTCCCAGCCAAAAGTCTCTTCCAAGGTAACAGACGTGTTTGTGTGTGACTTTCAAGATCCAAATAACCTGGGGGATGCAACAGAAAAAAAAGTACATGAGAAGTGGGTTACGACAGTGCACAGTCACACCAATGCAAGGCTGATTCTGTTGGACTAATTGATGGGTTTCCACCCCCCCCAAAAATGAAAAATATGCCAAAATTTAGACCCAAGTGCTGACCCAAAGGATGTTTTATCTGACAACCCCCAATAAGCAACATAATGTGTGGCTGAATGACTCATATGCTGGCACAGAAGGTTTTGATGCACTGCAGGTGCCCACACAGCAATAAAACTGAGGCCAACCCATACTTGAAAATTGAAATAAGCCAGTGAAATCAATAAGAATTATGGAAAAATCGAGTGGGGGAGAAGGAGATGTGAAAAGAAATGTATGTGCAAGAAAAATCCCAATATATGACTTCCTATAACCAAATGACACGTTACTTACACAACCATGCAGAACATCATGAAGATATTCCACAAGGCAATGAAGATTCGAAAATACCTGAGACTCAGCAAGAACTCTCTGATATTGTCACCTAGAAACCAAGAGAAGAAGCCTTTGATGTGAAAAACACCCGACAATACACTGACAAGTCACATTTTCAGTGCTGCCTGAAAAGCACAAGCAACTGTGACAGAAAAAAAACCCCTCAAACAATCAAAAACACACCAAAAAGTTCAGATCACAAAACGCTGAAACTTGAAGGTTTAGGTGAATGATGGATGCTTTGTTCAGTGGCAAAATAACCAATAAATGATAAAAAGGGTTCTCACTAAACGTAAAAAGGGAAGAGCAGCCTCATTGTAGTTCACAGCCTTCCTGGGATTTTTAAGTAGCAAACAGAGGGAGCAGCACAAGTGTATCCACATGGAAATGGCAACCAGGTGGTGAGCAGAGTGTTACCTCTGTAGTGCAGGCACCTACAGTCAAAAATGCTGAAAGAAATGTGCTTTTTTTGGGGGGTATTTCTTCTCAAATCCTGTTTGGGGATCACAGGGGGTTTATCACACCTGTATGTAAAACGGCACAGAGGAACATTTTCAGGCTGAAAAGCACTAAAATGGTTATTCCAGCCAGAGAGCAATTCCCATCCAACAAAACCAGCGGGGGAATTGTGGTTTGGCCAAGGCTTTCCTTTGGAAAAGCCGATTCCCGAGTGTGTTCAGGCAGCCCCGGCCCCGCTCCCGCGTCCCCTCCCGCATCCCCTCCGTTACCGGTCGTGGGTTCCCTCGGCTCCTCCCCGAATCCCTCCGTGTCCTTCCTCCTCCTGCGGTACAAGGGGGGCCGTGTGAGGCAGGTGAACCCCTTCCCAGCAAACCTCCCTCCCCTCCCTCCCTCCCCGTGTTCGCTCACAGCCTGAAGTTGAGCACAGCACCGGCGTTCACCAGCAGCGTCCTGTGGGAGAGAGGGACAGCGAGGGGGACAGGGATGGGGACAGCGATGGGGAGGGGGA